AACCGTAGATATATTTTAAGAGCTGGTGTGTGTGTCGCATTGAACATTACGTTGCGGCAGTTGTGTGTGGCGTCGCTATGACGACAAGCTACGTACCATCTCTGGCTACTATCTGCAATGGAAAACGGAGCAGGGCAGAGTAGAGTCGAGTCTATCGATTTGCGCCATGGTAGCATTTTTCGGCAAGGCAGCATAGATCGTCAGAACACCGGCAACAGTTCAATGTTTAGTCCTAATGGTAAGGATGTAATGTAACCAATGTAAGAAGCAACTCTCATCAAAGATTTTGTACAAGTATGATGCATCACTCTGTAGCTCAAGAGTGGAGCATACAACACATAGGGTGAAAAGTGGAGCAGCAGCAATGTGCAGTATGAGAAAAATATGGTGTTTTTTGAAAATGATAAACCATGTAAACCTGTTCTGGTACAACCACTAATTAAGATTTTGAACCTGAAAATGTGCATAATACCACCTCTTTAAGTATGTTTAACTTGTAATTCAATCACATCCGTTACTGAGTAAAAAACAAGTGCAAGGAAGAATTTGCGACCACTTTGGCTTCAAGTGTAAGAGAACAGCTTTGTGATGCAGTTTAAAAATGCTTTATTAAGTTACTTCTAATGCAAACTTAACATTTCCTGCTGCTGCAGCGTCACAATAAAAGCATTTAACTGAAATATTGCATTGAGTAATGCAGTCATGAGCAGACACAGTTAGCTGTTAGGTAAAGAGCTGCAGGCGACAGTCTGCACACCTCCACCTTCTCAGCCAGGTAAACAACTCCTTTCACTTTCGCTGTTGGCAGACTGTTGTGTGCAGCATAAAGTCAGATCATGACGGCTCACATAATTATGGAAAACACAAATAACTGCCCAACAATAGTTTGTTTAGCTGCCCCAGACTTCTGTGCCCTGTGGTATCAAAAGGCATCTGCTGTTAACTACAGGTGTCTCATGCACAATAATGGGCAGCTGCATAATAAAACCAGTTAATTAATGTCAATCAGAGTTACATTTACAATTACAGATTTTAACCATCACTCCTCAGTGAACTCCTTGGCTGAGAGCATTTTCTAGTTAAGTAGGCCTATGTAGCCTATCATTAACATTATGGATTTAGGCCTACTATGTTTGGGAGTCTGTTCACATTAATATAAGCTAAGAAAAACGTTCATTTTGCGAAAGTTGAAAATATTAAACAGTAATATGGCAATTATTTTGAAAGTCCGGCCCCCACAGTGTCTGCTTAGAACAAATGTAGTTAAAGTCAACTGATGAAAAGGTCAGTTAAATAATATCCTACTTCCATTGGTGGTTAAAAATAAGTTTTATAGTTTGGTAAGATGCTTTGCGCCAAATAGTCAAAATGACATTGGTGCTTGACAATGTTGGTTGACATTAGCAACTTGCTGGTAACTACTTATTTATTGTACTGATGCCTATATCCCATTAAAATTACCATCTGTTTGAATGTAATTATAGCGATATGACTTACAGTCCAGTGTTTCCCGTTTTGCTAGTCCAGTGTGGCTCGCCAGAGTGTGATTTTTTCCACCACAGTTTCCTAATGAAGCGAAAACATCAAAGTTCTTATAAAATGTTATTGTTTTTTGTCATTGACTTGGCAAAGTCTCTGTCAAACAAACTAAAATTGAAAGCGAGCAGTTGCTAATGTTATCCGGTGCAAAGTTGTATCGCTTTCCACATTACTTCACCAACTAACCCGACCCATGTTACTAGCCTGTGTACCACCTGTATCATGTCAAAGTGTTAATTTAGCCTGCAAGAAAGGATGTAACGGTGAAAAGCAAATGTGGAGCGATTTGTTTACTAACATTAGCCTATAATGATGCAGCCAGAGCAGCCAGGTAATGCTACAGTAGCTCACACATGCCGCTTTTTGCTTCGTAACGTTCAATATAGGTTTATTGTGGTTTTACCAATACTCAGGTACACAGCTTCTCCACCTCTCAGTGGCTGTAACTAACGTGACCCACATAATATGCAACCGTGCAACTTCACAGCAAAAACAACCCAGAGGAAGAGCCATGCACTAACACTACTGTAAAGTTACTTACTGCGATCTAACTGGTATAAAGTGTGACACAATCTCGTTATAATATTCAGTCCAGCTCACTTAGCGTTTCATTATCATCCAGTACATTTAGCTGTGCTGACACTGCTGAACCTCTGGTGAAAGATACACAGATAGTGAAGATAATTACTGAAAGCAGGAGGCGAGCTAACGCTGTAGCATGTCGGCTAAATGCAGTAAATATGCCGTGATCATGTCACCAGCATGAATTAGCTCAACCTGCAGCTGAAAAAACTATTACTATAACGTTGCAGTAGCGGTTTACGTGAGTTTCCAGTATATTGTGTGAAGCTGTCTCTCTGCCTGCCTGTAGCTGCTGTCACACTTTTTTCCAGGAGTATTGAGCCAATATGCGTCTCACTGCGCTGAATGAAAGGTGCGGAGCCGGTGTTGATCTGCCTCTGAGCACACACACAAACACACAGACACACACACACAGTCAGACACACTTACTGCATATATAATAATTTTTCCAAGGCTTAACTGATGTGTCCATTAAATGTGCCTCTACTGTATAAACACCCATAACACAAGCGCAGGCACCCCTGGAGGCAAATGGCAATATCAATACACCATAATCTAGCCTGAAGCTGATGCAGTCTTAACCTATCAACATATCAATAGAATACAGGATGCAGTTCATGAAGGTGACGAGATACATGGAGTTCTACAGCAAGTTTGTTGTTTTTATTGTTATTGTAATTGCATTGAGTGATGGAGGGAATCTATTCAGATGTATAGCTGAGTTCACTGTCTTCAGCATTAGTCTAACAAGATAGCCTCCAAAGTACCATGATGGTCTCTCCACTGAAGGAAGGCAGCCCAGTCAGCAAAAATCATAAAAGAGTTTATCTTGGCATCCTATGAATGCTAAAGTATTTATGATTCTAAATGAATACCTGCTGGCCTGGTCTGCCATCTCAACACTGTATTGGTAGGAGGACAAGGCCTATTCAATCCTGGCTGATACTTGCCCCCCTTTGTTTAAGGAGTTGAAGTTGCTTTTTTCAGACTGTAGATACAGGACGCCAATATGCAGAAAAAAAGTTATAATTTGTTGTAATTCTGTTTTACTGTTGGTTGTTTTTATTTTTAAAACTTTTAAAACTCTAGTATATTTTCTTAGGTTACATTTATTTTTTGGCCTGTTTATATATTGCTTGTTTGATAGTTTTGTATTAAATGCTGACTGTACAACTAATTGCCCCCTGGGGACAATAAAGACATCCTTGATCCTTGGTAGTTGCCACAGGTGAGTAGATTAAAGAATGATAACACAATGACTCAACATCATGCTGCCATGTAGCAGAATATCTACAAAAAGTATATGTGTTTTTTCCCTGCTCCTTTTGCTTTGAGATTCGCTCCAGTCCCCCTGCAACCCTGCATGGATAAGCTGGTATAGATAATGGATGGATGGATTCTCGTCTTAAATGTCTTATGATCTGATGTATCTGTCTGATTTGGGATGTGGTTTCTCCCGTCTCTCTTCTGTAAGCCCCATTATGATGAAGCAGATTTGCCAAAAGTGCATTTGAACAAATAACAACTGATGTGGAACGTTTGTTGCCTTATCGTATATGACAAACAATACCAGTCACACACACTCAAATGCACATCTGCCTCTGTGAGTATTGTTTCAGAAAGAATTGATGGAGACTTCACATTCACAGCACCCAACTGCAATATCATTCTCAAAATTAGAACCGGATTTCCTGTAAGCCCTACTACTTTGCATCACACATAGGATGTTGCTTCTTTGGTTAAAAGTTTTCTCCTTCGCCTCAGGGAAGACAGCAAACATGATGGAAATGTTTTGTTTTATTTTCATCTGTTTTTGAGTCAACCTTCCATCTGCTAGTGCCAGAAACCCTGTAAGCTTTAATGCAATTTACACTGGAAGAACAACATCCTATTTACAATTTTATGCCATCAAGCAGACTCTTTTCACACCATAGAGCTACAAATTTAGACTGAATCAAAATATAAGGTTGCCATTTTGGGGCCTGTAGATGCTGCCAGTCTTTTTGTTGATGGTCTCATCAAGTTAGAGTACACCCTATTTAGTCGTGAACATGACAATGATTTGAGAATGGTACACTTAGCAAATAAACACTAATTCCTAGTGTATGGTTTGTTATCTGAAACATTCTCGTTCAATAAAACAAGTTCAGTTTCAGTTTCTAGGGGACAGTAGCCAGTTTTAGTGCGTATCATTTTTCCTAACTCATGGGCCCTGCCAATTTCTAAGAAAACAACCATTTCTGTGTCTCCAATTATTGCACCCTTCTTACACAATAAGTGTTGTGTATAAATCTATTAGACAGAGTGTTAATTATCAGTGTGTGCAGACTAATAGGTTAAGAGACTTGTAAATCTTAATGTCATTAGATAGAATGGAGCATAGAACCACAATGGAGTGAAACATGTTTGCTTCTCCTTTCCTTGCATTATTTTTCTCACTCTCACCTCTAGAAATTATCATTAAACTTGGAAGAAACCAAAGAATCCCGCACACAATTTCTTCATAGGCAAGAGTTTTTGATCCTACGCACCTGTCAAGATGACTTTTTCGCATGTGAGAACTTTGGTGTAATAATATCATCAAAAGCACACACACTAAAACAGATCTGAAGACAAGATGAGGAAAAATATATTTTGAGTACGAGATTGAAGGTGTGTTATGACGTGGTCTTTTTATCATTGGTGTCAAATATGTTGTGTCATGCTGTGTGCATCTATCTATCTATCTATCTATCTATCTATCTATCTATCTATCTATCTCACAGATACATGTTGAGACACAGCTCATTTTCCCAAGCTGACTTCATTGTTTCACTCCTTTGCTCCTTCCCTCTTTCTTTTGCCCTTCACTACATCTACGCATTTCTTTCTCACCACAGTTGAACAGATCGTGTCTGTATTCCACGCTGCTTCCAAACAAAAGGCATGGGACCATTTCTCCAAAGCTCAGCGGAAAAACCTGGATATGTGGCGCAAGCAGGTTGAGGTTGGTATTTTTAATTTTCCTGTAAGATTACTAAATTTTTTATCTATAAGTATGTATGTAGTAGTTTTAGTAAAGACATAGTTAGCAGTGATTTGATCAATGCTTTATGTATGCTGTGTTTTTTTGAGTAGAAAAAGTAGGGGCCTAAAATTAAATCATGAGGAACTCCAAAGGGAGGAATTTAAATCTACTGGTAGCTCTATTCCTGATGGAAATTCACTTGATCTGTTAAGATTGCATGAGTGTCAAAGGTTGCACCAAAACAAAAATCTTTAATCTTATTGTACAACTGTTAAAGAAGCTAATTTTGTATTGGACTGGGAGCATTATGTCCATACAAATGTGTCATTGCTTTTTTGACTTTAATTTAAACTAGCTTAAAAACGTATTATCAGGTAAATGTGTATTTCTAATACATGAAGGGATATAAGGACAATGGATGATAGCTAAGCAAGGTTATAAATACTCAACATTTCAACAATCTAATTGTCCATATCCAAAATGAAACATCGTCTGAAATTCTTAGCTGAGTTGGTAAGTACCTGATTAGTTTTTCCTGTTTCTACTAATGTGCTAAACTCCATTTATACCTAGTGCTAACATGTGATCTGTATCTGAATTTCTTATATAGATATAAATATGAACATTAATGAAAGGTGTAAAGTAAATAAATACAATCAGAATGCCATCACATTTCAGAAAATTTAGTAATAACAGGTGTAAATGGAAATGCTCATAATCATATTATACACATATAGGTTGTTTTAATGCCTCTGTGTTGTCATATATAGACAGACAGGAAAATGATAATTTTTGCATGGTTTGTTTAGGGCACAATATTGAGGTTATCCATTTACTTTTTTTAGAAACTGATAGAGCTCTGCTTTTTCATTATTATTTACTGTCAGACAAATGCCACATTAATTATGGTGATTCGTGTTCAGCAGTGTCCATGTGGTTTGTAATAGAGTGAAGCATTATGTGTAGATCTGATTGGTGAGGTTTAGGTTGGGCGATGTCTACAAAATTTCCTTTGGACAATGTGTTTTTGCACAGACTTCACTCGGTAAAAAAAAAATGGTAAACTATTAACTTGCGTTACAAGTCGCGGTGCGGTGGACACTTTATGCACGGACCACGTAAAGCAACAGTGAACACACAGGGTGCAGATGTTTGTTTCAGTTGTTTGATAGGCTACGTCATTAACAAACCGAGAGGCGACTTTATAAAACATACTGCTGATGGAGAAAATGGAGCAGATGTGGGGAGAGAGACAGAGAGAGGCGGGGCAAGCTGGGTGTTTATCTGAGGTGTAGGTGTGTGTGTGAGTGTGTCAGAGAAGAGACTTCCGAGACAGGTGCAAAGCATAGGCTACTTAAAAACAATGATAAGAATGTTCGTGGTCGTTAAAACCTGCTTTCACACTTGAGATTTTTTTTGCTGGGGGGGCAGGGCGGGGCGGAGGTTTTACTATAACAATGCTGACTCAACGTCGTGATGTCTGTCAGCCTTGGAACAACCCTAGTGAGGTTTGAATCAACACACACCACAGCACTACACTGCTTATAATTTGGTATATCTACAACACACATCATTGCAAATAAAGCTTTGTCATAGCATGTTAATGAAATATTTGAATGTCAGTGAGGCCCTATTCTTTGTGTATATTCATGTACAGTATCAAATGAGGACAATGTTCATTCTGCTCCATTCCCTGCAGAACTATGAAAATGCTAATAACTTTCTAGAAATAGATCTATGACATTAACAAGCATTCAGAACCGCTGCTGGGAGCTGTCCACATCCGAGTGTTATACATTAATCACACTTTACACTTTAACCCAAGAATATTGATTTTCTGTGAGGCGGAGCACCATGCCTCTACACATTGTTGTTAACTCCCCAGTGTAATGACAGTAGCTTTTGCATCAGGGGTTGTAGCGCAGAGGGCAAGTGTGTGTTCAGAGCCCTATGTTTGTTACTGCTGCAGTTGAAAAGCCTCTTGTGTTCCACATGAGTGTAAATCAGCTCCTGAATTGTTATTAGTGCCTCAGTCAGGCTGGGTGTTGTTTCCATCACTGTATTTGTGATAAGACAAACTGCCTCACCATCTGCACACCAGACAGACTACAGCAGAAGTACGGCTGTAACTATCATAACATCATGGGTGACACGATTTGTACTTGATGTTTTTTAGTAGTGTGAATGAAACAAATCAAAATCCATTAGGTCCCTCTTATTTCAGTTTCTTGTGTTTTCCTTCCTTTCTCTAATTCTGTAAAAACATTCCATCCTTTAATGCATGCTGTTTTCTTTTAATTAAAAAGTACATCTCTACAGAGATAGCAGTTATTATCCATATCAAACATCTGATCTTTGTTACAGATGAGAGATGTGAAATAAGTTTTTAAATACAGTACATTTAAAGTTTTTGAAAGGCATTTTTATGATGATCACTGACACTTTCTAAGGATAAAGAAAACACGCAAACAAGAGTATGCTTTGTAACTGTCTCACTATGAAAACATGATATAGTGAATGGTGAAAGATAATGGCTGGAGGAGTATTGGGTACATATAGTATCTAGTAGTCTAGACTGTAGTACAGTCAGTAGTATCTACTGTATATATACTGTATACACAAATGACACAATATTGACATTCTCATATAGCCTCAACTGTATTTGCTAATACGCCAAACAAAGATGGTGAACATGGTAAATATTATAGCTCCTTAACATTAGCATGTTAGCATGTTGACGTTAGTTCAAAGCACCACTGTGCCTAAGTGAGACCAGTGAGATGACAGCATCAGTCGTTTCAGCAAGTCTCCCAAAACCAACATACAGTATGTTTAAGTCAGGGTTGGAGTTATAATCTGAGCTTGTGGGGGTCTCTAATATACTAACTAATGTTACAGAGAGAGAGAGAGAAATCTTTGCTTATTACGTGATTCCCTCTCACACACATCAGTCCACTACTTGCCCCAGAAGTCTGCGATATTGCAACAAAGTTTCAATAGTGTGAAAAATGGCATCAGAGACTACTGCTCAAGGAGAGACCACAATTCCGCCCTTTATATTAGGTATAATATTAAAGTGTAATTATTTCACGCACTGCTGGCCACCGGCACACATTAGCAAGCATATTATCATATATAGCGCTGTATTAATTGTAGGATGCATCAGAAAGCCAATAATACTAATATAAATAATAAGTAGCAGTCAATTCAGAGTCAATTCTAGTTGAACATGTTCGCGGGAGTTCAAAACAGTGCGCACCATGGCGGCTGATGGTGGAGAAGTGCAGCAATCCTGTCAGTCATGCAGTGCGGAGCGTAGTTCATTAGGAAAGTGTGTTCATTTAAGTTTGTTTAAATTTTTAATGTAAATAATAGTAGGTACTAGTGTTGTAGTACTCGAGACCGGTCTTGGTCCTAAGACCACTTTTTGATGGTCTTGGTCTCGTCTCGGACTCGACCGCATTTGTACTTGGTCTTGTCTCGGTCTCTGACATTGAGGACTCTGGATTTTATTTCAAGACCATAACTTTGGTCTTAACTTTTGTCACCTCTCCCCGCAATGCTTACGTTGATTTCAGCTGTTAGTGTTTGTATGTGGGTGTTTTAATGGGAATGTGGATCTTTCAGATCAATTTGTGAAGTTATCTATGATCTTATTCCATTTAAGTGCGTGCCATGCAATGCAGGGAACTGATCTTGGTCTTGACTCTGTCTCGCCCTCCCTCGGTCTTGGTCTCGACTGTTCTGAGCCCTTAAAAGTCTTGGTCTTGTCTCGGTCTCGATAAACTCTGGTCTTGGTCTTGACTTGGTCTCGGTTTGGGCGGTCTTGACTACAACACTAGTAGGTACTAAGTACAATGAAAAATAGGCTACATTATTTGTGATTCAAAATAACGTTTGTTGATAAATGAATTAGACCCACAGATGCATGATTTTACTGCTTCAGTGGGAGCTCAGACCTCCTTATATGAGCTGTGCTCCCACTGGCTCCCACGTAACTCGAACCCTGGTTCAATTTAAGGAACAAAACTACCCTAGTGGCTGTGGAAAGTATGATTGTTTTTCATCCAAAGCAAAGGAGAAAGTAGTGTGAAGTTGTGATAGGGCCACAAAGGACTCCTGGGTGGAGGAGATCAGGGTGGATTGTTGGCACAGCAAAACATCAGACTTTAACATGGCAGGCCATTGTTTGTTTCTTGTTACTTTCTTGTCTTCTTACCGTCAGTAAAACATTGGTTGTTACCTAATCTTATCCAAGTGGTTATTATTGTAACCATAACAACAAAGGTTTCCTGATCTTAGCAAAGTAGCTGTTTGAACCCCAACAGTAATCTTTCTCTAAACCTATTACCAAGTTATGTTTGTGCCTACACCTAAACAAAATCTTAACCATGGTGTTGTCAGAACATGATTTATTTTATTTTATTTTAACAGTGATTTGTATAATTTGTGGAAGGCACAGACATCCTGACAATAGGAAGCAATATAATTTTTTGTTTAAATTTTCTTTGCACGGTTTTAAATGTTACACACACTTTTTAGATCCTATATACATTTTTCAAATGGATGATATTATTTTGACTATCATTTGTTTGTTTGTAGTTTGGTGACATCCTGAAAATCTGAGGAGAATCTGTTTTAGTAATATCTTAGTGTACAGGCTTCTGCTGCAGAGGAAATCATCTGCACAGGCAAAATGACGTCTCTTCTTGCTCTCTGTAAGGTGAAAACTGTTGTGTTTTAAGGGACACCAGATTTTCCTCCCCTTTGACATGGCACAGGAAATTGAAGTGGACAAATTGAAAAGTAGATGGTTGAGGAAAACAAATGTAGAGATGTAACCACCCTTGCAGTTATTGCATGCTCTGCTTTTTGTTTTGTTATTCTACCCTTAAACTTGGTTAGAAAATGTTGGAATTGTAATGTTTTTTTCAGTAGTTGTGATCACATTTATAATGAGCAGGTTGTTTTTAATAGTGTTTTATTCACGACCACTTTGAAACATTCTTTCAGAGGGTTCCCACTGTTAACAGCAGATTCATGAAAGATTACAGTGCTCTTTTATCTTTAGTTCTCAATAGCCTGTTTTAATCTCACTGTCTTTTATCTGTTATATACTTTCACACTGCATTAACCACAGTAAAAAAAGGCCTTGTGCCCTACAATGTGACAATACAACAGATGCACACTCATTTTTGTGCGTTTGTGTGTGTGCTTACCACGCCTAAATAGTAAGGTAGGAGGTTGTGTGACAATATGATCTCTCTGAGGCTCAAACTGTACCACACTCCAGTGTCCAGAGTGAAGGTGAAAATATTTTCACATTATTTTAAATTATTTTTATCGTGAAAACCACACATACACTGCAGGCGTTCATAATATACACTTATTGGTAGCTCAAACAGGAGTTTGGGGGTGACACGTTACCACTTCCTACCTCTGACGAAAGCAGCATACATAAGCTATATGCATGTAGGATGGTGTCAATTACATGCATAAATTGCATGTCTTGTCCCCTTTATCCTTGAGCTGACAAGCTGAAGACACTAAATACATGGCTGTGTGTGTGTGTGTGTGTGTGGTGTTTGCAGGACTTTTTGCATTGGTTTGCACATATTTTGTGGGATAAAATTGATTTATGAGCAATAAGGAAGGTACACAGTATATCCACTATGCAGATATTTACCTGCTACTGTTTTTGTGTTTTGCAGGAGATTAGAAACATGCACAATGAGCAGCTTATGGGAATCAGGGGAGAAGAGGAGATGGAGATGTCTGATGATGACATGGAGGACTCCTCCGCTACCAACAGCAAAGACTCTGAGGACTCAGGTAAATTTTTTTGGTTTGACTCTAAAAAGTGTACAGGTGCAGAATGATGTGTGTACTGAGATACTGTCACATACTGTCCTACGAGCAAATACTGTACATATATATCACTGGTATTTGGGCTAAAATTTAATTATAAGCCATACAGGAAATAATCCACTTAACTTTGCACTTGGATACACCGAGTGACAGCAAAAATAACTTTTTCTGTGCACATTGTTTTGAACAACATACAAGGTGCAAGGTAATTTATTATTATACAACACAAGGTTGTATAACGAAAAGAAAGTTTGTAGTCCATTCATGCTACACACACAGAATTTAACAGAGAATTAAATGGGTAGGGCTATAAAAATCTGGTAACATATAAATAAATAAAATAAATAAATAATAAATAAAACAATAGGCTATCACAGTGGCAACAAAATGATGAAATGTTTTCATCTTCACATTAAAAAGTCTGACATTTGGGAAACAGTGTTCATCTTGACAGGGTTTGAGCACCAAGCATCATCGATAGAAACACAGAGCCCGCCTCCTTTCATCTTGCTGGAGTCTTGCACGCTGACAGCTCGGAATACTGATGATCCGGGAAGTTGATGGGGGGGTCTCTGTAAAGATGTCGACACAACAGTCTCTGATTTCCCTTGCTCAGCCCATTTTGTCCAGACCTTTAGGAGCAGTCTTAAGTCCAAGCTGGGCCATGATGGCTCCTATCCTGTCTCTCTTTCCTCTCATCTGAGCGATCACCACATTGACATGTTGTATTGACAAACTTCTTACAGTGCGCTGGTGGACATACATCATTGTGTTGTTAACTTGTACCAAACCATAACCCACAAATAGCAAGCTGAGCTGTGACCTGAGCCCTCGCAACACCATACATAATTCTTCTACTTTAAGGATTAATAGTCCTTCATTTATTTGACTGTGCATTTAGTTGTGTGACTAAAGCAGCCATCAAAACCACATAAAAAAATCCAGCAATTTTAGTTTGCACGTTTTTAATGTGTGAAAGAACTAAATACTCAAAACACAATTTTGAATGAGCATATTGTATTGTA